CGCCCAAATCTTCGTGGCCTTTGTGAGTGGGCCAACGGTGGTGGTCACCTTGAACCGTTCAAGGATGTCCATCACCACGAACGGGTACGGGAGGAGGTGGTCGTGGTCGGTGGACGCGGCAATCGTCATGTTGATCATGACAAACTTTGCCCAATTGATTGGGGCCGAGTGCATGATCGCATGGATGAGCTTGAGATCTTCACCGGACATGATGGTGTGGTCGTGCTTCCTGGGTTTGATGATCCGGGAGACGATGTAGAGAAGAAGACGGCCATCGGGGTTAGCGAAGTGGATGGTGGGGCGGCCCGAGGCATGGCGGATGAGCTCAGTGATGCCAAGCTCGTTGAGGATAAGGCCATCGTTGTTGAGCACCCAATCCTCTCCGCCATATAGGGAGACGTCGTCGCCTTGGTAGGGGAGGTCGGCGATGCGCCCAAGCTGCTCAATTGACAGTTCTATCGGCGTGCTCTTGACAAGGGAATAGAGCACGTTGCCTTCATGCCAGAGGTTGGAGTAGAAGACCCGAATCAGCGCCGGGTTGATCTCCTTCCGAGCCCGGGAGACAAAGGGCCAAAGGCCGGCCTGATGAAGCTGCGCGTCGAGGTCGTCGTAGCCCTGCAGCTCCGGGTAGCGCTCCGGGATGATCCGTGGAGGAGCCACAACCCGTTTAGAGAAGAAAGTGAGGAAACAGGTGCGTTCCTCCTTGGAATCAAACCAAAGGTATGACCCGTCACCATAGTAGAGGCGTTCCTCGGTGGATGTCGTAGGCGCCCGGGATTTGGCCTTGGATTTGCTGGAAGCTCCTGCCCTGTTCTTATCTTTGCCCATGATGAAGAAATCTTAAGAGAAGAGAGTAGAAATGATGAAATAAGCAAGGATGTTGAAGAGAATTGTGTTTGTGTGTGTAAAAGTGAAGAGAGGAGGTCCCAATTTATAGAGAAAGAGGTCTCCAACATCCAGATTTTCAAAAATATGGCTGTTGGATCAATTAATGCTGGTGCCAACGGATATTTTTTTTGAAAAATTTATCCAGAACAGCGATGTTCCAAAGGCTACATCGCTGTTGGGACAGCGCTGTTGAGCCTCTGGACAGCGCTGTTATGCATCAAGTTTTAAAAACAAGTGTTAAATGGACATCGATGTTGAAAGAGGGACATCGCTGTTTAAAAAGTTTCTGGTTTTGGTTGAAAAACAAGATGTTTTGGGGGACAGCGATGTTTTAGGTTGGAATAGCAATGTTCAAAAAGTTTCGGGAAAGTGAAGAGTAAGGGACTCCCTGGGACAGCACTGTTGGCGTGTTGTACAGCGCTGTTGGCACAAACTAGTTGACGGTGTTTCTCTCAACAGCGCTGTTTGGTCTCTTGGACAGCGCTGTTTGCATGGTTCCCCCTGATTCCATGAATGGGGTACCTGCAAAAAAAGAAAAAAGTTCTCCGATGCTCAAGTTAGTAAGCGTTTAATAAGTTTAGATGCATAACTTAGATCATCGTGGAGTCAAGGATTCCGAGTTCTCTTCGAATGCGGAAGAACGACTCTTTCTCTAAAGGTTTTGTGAAAATGTCGGCTAATTGGTTGTGTGTTTCAACAAACTCAATTTCGACATCACCTTTGAGAACATGATCTCTTATGAAATGATGCCTAAAGTCAATGTGTTTCGTCCTTGAGTGAAGAACGGGGTTCTTCGTCAAGCTTATGGCGCTAGTAATATCACAACGAAGAGGGACGTGATTGATACTAAGGCCATAGTCCACGAGTTGTTGCTTCATACAAAGAATTTGAGCACAACAACTACCGGCGGCTACATATTCCGCTTCGGTTGTGGATAACGCAACACTGACTTGCTTTTTACTAAACCATGAGACTAGAGAGCTACCAAGTAAGTGGCAAGTCCCACTCGTACTTTTACGGTCTAATTTGCAACTGGCAAAGTCTAAGTCAGAATAACCAACGAGATGACAAGAAGAGCCTTTTGGATACCACAGTACAATGTTTACCGTGCCGGTAAGATATTTCATAATCCGTTTTACCGCCGTTAAGTGCGATTCCTTCGGACATGATTAATACCTTGCGCAAAGGCAAACGCTAAACATGATATCTGGCCTACTAGCAGTAAGATAAAGAAGGGATCCGATCATACCTCGATACTTTTTGACCTCTACTTCCTTACCTTTCTCGTCTTTGTCAAGATGATCAGACGTGCTCATTGGGGTCGCCATGGCTTTGGCGCTGTCCATTTCAAATCGTTTTAGGAGCTCCTTGCAGTATTTAGTTTGGCAAATGAACGTGCCATCTTTTATTTGCTTAACTTGGAGTCCCAAAAAGAATGTGAGCTCGCCCATCATTGACATTTCAAATTCGCTAGTCATTAGCGTTGAGAATTCCTTGCACAAAGACTCGTTAGTAGCACCGAATATAATGTCGTCTACATAAACTTGAACCAAAAGGATGTTATTGTTTTTACTCTTGATAAAAAGTGTGGTGTCTACCTTTCCCCTTTGGAAACCACTATCCAAAAGAAATTTACTCAAACGTTCGTACCAAGCACGTGGTGCTTGTTTAAGACCGTA